CACACAATGAATACAATATAGTTGGGAACAATAGAGTAGTTCTTATGAGTTGAGATTAGGGAACATAGCCTTTATTGTGAATGAGTGCACCTACCAGTGTGTTGTATATACTGTATATATATATATATATATGTGTGTGTGTGTGTGTGTGTGTGTGTCTACCAATGCTTTCTCTCATACAGGCAATAGTATGTCTATTGTTATGAAACACATCGGAAACAAAACGCCAGAACTGCTCAATGAATGAAAAGCTATTGTGTTTTGCAAACGATATTCAAAGAGAAGGGAACACACCATTCAATCCGACATTTAATATCCAAACACACAAAACATTGGGACCCATAGCTATTGATTAATAAATACAATAATTCACACCACATATTGTCAGTATAATATTCCATAGACTTCTCAATGAGTGGCCCAACAAAAGTTTAGAGATCCATACACTACAATAGTAATAAAGTTTGTATGTATGTATGTATGTATGTATGTGTGTGTATGTATGTATGTATATGTGTGTGTGTATGTATGTGTGTGTGTATGTATGTGTGTGTGTGTGTGTGTATTCATAGCCCCGACAAAACCGTTTGATTTTAACAATATATAACAACATATATAACCCAATAAACTATACACCAATTGTTCTCAGATATTATGTATTTTTTCTGCAATTTAGTCACAACTATTATGGATGCCATACAATGACCCGAACACTTGGTTTTTTATTGAGGTTATAAGTGACCCCATGTATAACAATAAGGGCTCATACAATAGGACTGACAATATGGTTGGATTCCCGCGTATAGAAGCTTTCGATTGATGCAAATATCAATTTTTATAAACTATTGAATATTATAGCAATGTTAGTCTAAACCAATAATTTGTGTGCTTTTAATTCAATTGATAAAACCTGTGAATCGTTTTTCTAATTGTTATGTTAGCCGACATTATTAAATGCAATCAATTCAATAGATAATACAATTTTGTAATAACCAAAACCAACACTTTTATATTTTATATAATAAACTGAATTAACACCATAATATTTGCTGCTTTATTCATATATCAAATACTTTTAATATATTTATATAATACCACAATATAATAATAATAATAAATATAATAAACTCAAAAATAATGTATTATTATAGTAATAATAAAATAAATTCAAGTGAAGCCATTCATATGATTGTCAATGAAAATAAAGTTCAACCACTTTTTTTGCCTTTTTATGCCACTAATAGATAGATAAAATATATTAATATAAACTATTAAAAACGTTAAAATAGGATATAGAAAAATGTTTGTAACTAATAGTATTAATATATAGTAAATTATATTATGGTAAACTATATTGTGATGACAATTGAAAAACTGTATTATCTTTTTGCTAAAAGAGACCACAAAATGCATTGTATGCTGTATTTGGATAGAGAGAGATGAGAGAAATAAACAATGTTTTATAGTACAGTAAATATATTGTATTAATATATTACTGTATACAGTATATAAAGAATAAAGTTTTCAATTGCAATAATAAACATTATTAAAAGTACAGTATATTGTATATTGTAGTAGAGTCTACAGTATATATCAAATTAGATATTTTCAATGAATATATTCATTTAATATAATTTTTACAAAATAATGCGACAGACTTGAGTAAATGTGTGTATAATTTACGAACAATTTTTTTTAAAAATGATATAAAAATTAATATTTTTTCACATTTATCACATTCACTAAATTAATGCTTTTTATTGTAGAAACTCATGTAATGTAATTTCACATACAATACTATTTCTATTGGATATACAGTATAATAAATATCTTTTTTTTCACTTTTTTATTTCTTTCTCTCATTTTTTATAAATTATAAGACAAAAAATTTTGTTTTAATAAATACTTTCTATTTTTCTAAATGTCATATCATTTACTATTATTAAAATTATTATACCAAACGTTTACTAAAACTAAGCAAATTGCCATTTATTTGATACAGTTATTTATAAATGTGATAAAATCAGACAAATATCTGGTATTATGTTTCATAAAAGCCATTTAAACCGATCCGATCTGATAATGACATCGACTTTAATGATAATCGATTTGAATGAAACATATGTTCAGTGAGTAAAAAAAGAGATCGGATCTAATCGGTTGTGATATTTTAAAATATATATATTATTATATAATATAATGAGTTATATATTGTATATTCAGTATTGTATATACTTTTAGAGAATACGTATATTCATTACAGTAGTACAGTATTATCGTATACTGTATATACTGTATATATATATATATATATATAGCATAGTATTTATTGTATATGTTTTGCTGTTCAGGTGTCGAGTTTCACTTGTATTGAATAATAGGCGAAACGACACACAACTAACTTAACATAAATATTATATGAATAGAGTTTGTGAACAAAAAACTTTGTTAACTATCCATTCATTCATTCATTCTTTCTCTCTCTCATTCATTCATCTATTATCTCATCTATTCTTTTCCATTCATTCTCTAATTTTTTTAGACATGAATTCAATTGCGTTTTCTATAGTATTTGGTGTTATTTATGTGATATAAATAAGTCGATTCAATGAATGAATGAATAAATAAATGAATTGAATTTAATATATAAAATGAATAAATATATTAATAAATGCTCACAAAGAATGGCTAATAATCAAACAGACAAAAAATTATAAAATATAATAAATTTTATTTAAAAAAAACAATATCTATTATATTAATACATTAAAATTTATAATATTAGTAACACTGTAACTATAATAAACAGCTTTAAAAATGTTGTGAATATTGATTTGTATTATAAACTTGATAATAAATTCAAAAACACTTATAGTATAATAATATTTCTGATAAATCGATTTTTTTTAAAAATAAAAGTCAAATATTTTTTAGATCAAAAGATTATGTCAAACAATTGGTTAATTTTATTTTAAATTCTTTATTATTAATAACTTATGAAAATATATTTAAAATATATACTAATAAAATATTAATAACTCATTTGATTTACTTAAGTTACTTTAGTTTAGGGGGTCTATTAGTGGGTGGTTTGCTGTTACTATTTATTTTCAATAGATATAAAAAGAAGAGCTTATAAATTAGATACATGAGCTCAAACAGATACATAAATACATATTATAAACATGTTGAATGGGAAATAGTGTTCAAATATATAGAAACAGAGTAAAAATAAGTGAATAAGTCAGAGAGAGAGAGAGAGAGAGAGAGAGAGAGAGAGCAGAAATATCAGGAATGAGAATCAGTCAAAAACATTGCTTTTTGCAGATTATTAGCGTAAAAACAGGTCCTAAGACATATCAGATCGCATGTATCCCACATTCCGGATCTTACTGTCCAACACTGATATTGTGAATCCTAAAGTCCAGGTGTCAAACATTGTTATTGTCAGTAGAGAGGGAAAGGAGATAGAGAGCACTCCCTTTGAAATATACAATACTTTTGAATACACTTATGTATAAATTTTCAAAGCAATTTTTGAAATATATTGTTAAAATTTTATTGTACTGTATGTATGTGTATATGTTATAGTATTATATATACATTATTATGTTTTTCAGTAAATTGTGTGCACTTATAAAGAATCGCATAATAATTGTATTGTCATTTCGTTTTTCAATTCTCTCTCTCTCTTTCTTTCTTATACTCTTAAAGTATATAAAATAAGAAAAATTGAGGTCTCAGTCAACGACAAACAATTGCTATACAATAGGAAACAGTTGTATAGCTTAGTAATATGTTGTATAGCCAACAATCCCATAGACGTTAAATACAATATAAATACACCTGCGTTGCCATCACTCTAATAATTGTAAATACTTTAAAAACTTAGCATAATATAACACATTTTTATATAAATTTAATTAAATATTTTTCTAATATATTTATGTCATCTCATATTTTGTTATATCATAATTGAAAAAATCAATATTTGTCTTATGTTATAAAAATATTTATAGTATATTAATATAAATTATAAACTTTACAGTATGTAAACAAATTGTTTAAATAACGTATATACAGTATATATTAATGCTTTATTAGAATATCATTAATAAAACTTTTTGAATTATTTTCAACAAAAAATTATGTGATTATCTTTGTTACCGATAAATGATTTATAAATGATTAAAATACTAGATTTAATTCTCTACGTGTAATATTGTATATATCAAAAGTGTTTGTAATGTATAAGATATAGTTATCTATAAAAGGTCTAAACAATAATTTTAGAAAACTTTTACGTTTAGTACATTATATACTTTTGTATTAATTCTATTGTTGTAAATAAAATTAATAGTTAATCTGTTATATAACAGATAAATAGACTTTGAAAAGTTTTAACAATGTCTAACAGTATTCAAATAATTATATTAACTCTACGTTCATTTTAAACGATATTAGTTGTATTTGACATTATTATTAATTATATATATATATATGATATATATATATATAAATTATAATACTAAAATTTCGACAAATAAATAAATTTAATAAAAATATAATCTATACTAGTATATAATTTGTAAATCTATTTGTATATATCAATATATTTTTGTCACAAATTATTACTTTTCGCACAAATATATAAATTATTCAAATATATTATTTATTTACGGTAAGTTAATTTTAAAATTTTATGTATTAATAGCTAACTATTAATATATAGATTATTACACTTACATATACAGGTACAGTATCTAGATATAAGTCTAGATATTAGAATAGATTTCCAATTATATAATAGCATAGATTATTGACATGTTATAAATCATAACCAATAATAAATGCAAAAAAAACATAATACATCAAATAATTATTTTTTTTATTAAGACATTTTATACAATTAAATTTAATGTTAACACCTAAGTTGTAACCGGTATATATATATATAAATTTATATATATATATATAGTATAAAATATGCTAAAAATCTAACAATTATAAGCCACAGGTGGGTCCGTCACCTCAACACAACCCCTTTATCCAAATTGTTTGTCATTCCTGTTATTTAGACTATATTTGTTTACATATGAATTGAATTGCAATTCTTTAACACAAATCAGTCAAAAGTCATAAAATTCAGTGCGAAAGACAACTGTCCACACAAACTATATAAAGCGCTGAAATAAACTAAACATCAGATTAAATGTGTCCAAACAATCTTAGTTAAGCCAAAGTCACCCGTTTTTGACTCATTTCAGTGAATGTTTGAAACGATTGGCCACCAGAAGACAAAAATGTTTCAAATCTGTTATAAAAATAAGAATAAATTTAAAAAACTAAATAACTTCTACTGAACTATATTTTAGTTATTGAATCATAAAATTAAAAATATTTAAGCACATGTTTTCAATTTTAAAAAATGTAACTTTTTCTAAAAAAATTAATCTTTTTATAGTTTTAGAAAAATGATTTATTTATAATGTTATATATTTGTAGTCAATATTATATATAATACAAAAAATTAATTTTTTATATTTAGTTTATAGAGAACAACAACAACAATACCGTAAAGTGAGTATTAATTCATTTATTATCATTATTTTTGAAATGCGGTGAAAATTAGATTTATTTGATAAATAACTAAAATTTTATTTAATTTTAATGTATTAGGTATAATATACAATTTTTAAAAAAGAAAAAATTGCATTAATAAATACAAAAAATTTAAGCAAAATAAAAAAGGATTTTAATTAAAATGAATTCAACAAAAATTATTTCATTCATTCAAATATAATGATTGATGAATTTATTTAATGCCAACAAATAGGGGAGAATTTTCTCATATATTTATATCAAAATACAGTCAAATTATTACTAAAATGTTTGCGTCAAATGTCTGATGTTGTCGTGTAATACTTATTAAACATAATCATAATTAATCCTAAAGTGCAGTCAATCATAATTATAACCAATAAGAGATTTGTCTCTTTATATATACAGTATATTATATATTGTGTTAATAGTTTAAGACACCAAACAGGGGCTCTTCACACACATAAATATAACTCTTAAGAGGCAGGACTGGTAGGTCCTGTAAAAGTAATAAAATTCTTGCTGTGAGTCTATACAAGTCATTGCAATGAATGTCTGTCAGGCAATTGACAGACATTTCTAGTGATTCTCTGCAAACATGTCTGGGTTTTGGCCTTTTCTCGGATCAATACATAACTATAAATACATATATTAAGAGTATTAATACTATAACTGACACACAAATAATAAATGCATTAATTCTCTGCCAATACATAAGCTATTCATAGTTAGTGATAAATTGATATACAAACTATTATAATGTATTAATACATATTATGCAGCCATTAGTTTTTGGTAGATCTATTCATATGACTGGTCCCTCCCCACTAATAATCCGTGACCAAAAAATTATTACCAAACACTACACACACATACATACACACAACTATCAGTGCTTATCTATGCGTCAATATAACTCAATATTGAAAAAGAGGCTTTTAAAAAATGCCTCTTTCGGTGTAATAATATATTATTTGGTCAATAGATATGTGCATTTCATTGTGCAAAATATGTGAGTTTATTGTATGTGAGAGCTATTATTGGGAACATATTGTACATTAAGAAAGAAAGAAAGAAAGAGAGAGAGAGAGAGAGAAAGAAAGAAAGAAAGAGAGGTTTTACAAAAAAAACTTTATCCATAGCACCGACACTACACTTATTGGTAGATCTTTTCATCGACCGATTCATTCATTGCTATTATTCTTAGGATAAAAATGTCTTAAGACTTATAATTCATGGCAAACAATCAAATTTTGAATATTATATATAAAAGAAACGTTTCTTATAAAAAACCAAATGAATTGTATTTTATTATTACTATTATTATTATTACGACCTTCTCGTGTGTATGTGTTTTGAGAACATATTTGAGGATTAAATTTAATAAAAGAAATTTAAAATATATATATATATATATATATTTAAACAAAATAAAACATTTATTTATATTATTGTTAATTGGGTCTTATGTCGAAAACTATTCACAATTGACACAATCCTTGAAAATCGATGAATACATCGATTGCATTAAACCACTCATTATTATTAAACATAATAATTATAATTTATATTAAACTATTTTAATACATATAGTAATATACAAATATAAAAGTTTCGTCTATCAATCAATTATCAGTGCAAATAATAAATTATATTTATCTATTAATATTTAAAAACCCTATATAATCAATTGTAAGTCTAAATAAATAAAATGTTAAATAAATTAAATAACTAATTTTATTGAAACGAATAATAACAGTATATTAATATGTTTAAACTTTTTAAAAAGTTTTAAATTTTAAACACATATTTAACAGCAAACAATGCCAATACATAATAAACAGGAAATTTTATAAAATTATGTCAAACTATTTACAAGATTAAGTGATTATTAATATTAACACATAAATATTCATTGCTTTTATAAATTTCGATACAATGACTATATAAATAATACTATTATATGAACAACAATATTATTATTAAAAAATATTGTATATTAAAATACTAATGAATAATCAACAAATTATATATAATTACAATAAAATAAAAAAAATACCTATTATTAATGGCATTAATATAAATTTTAATGAAAATAACGACAAAAAGTCCCTTTTAATGAAAAGCCATTCACATAATATTATAAATAAATAAAAACTTATTTTATTATTTCATATAATTATTGACTGTTTGTCAGATTCATTGACAACTCAATCGCTTCTCTCGGCTTTTCTAATATACAATTTGCTATTAAAAAGAAAATTAGTTATTAAATATAATATACTGTATTTGTATTATTGCACAATAGGTAACACTAAACTAATTTTACAATATAATTGTAAATAATATAAAAATCAATTGCTTTGGAATAACCTTTTTTTTAAAAAAGTTACTTTATGTTCATAATTATTGCAAAAAAATTAAACAAAAATTAATATATACAATGAAATGTATGTAAAATTGAAAAGAAAATTATAGTCTCAATAATTGTAGAATTCATTCAATGAATAGTTTATATTTAAACTTTGACTTTGAAAAAATCGACTTATAATACAGTATTTAAAACTACAGTATATAAATACCAATTAAAGTAGAAACATACAAAAACAAACAAAATAAAAAAATATGAAATATTAGTAATACTTATTTATTACTATTACTAATACATTACTAATATTATTAAATATTTATTGAATGAAATTCTTTTTGTAAGCCTAAAGTATAGGTGAAATTATTTTTTATAAAGTAGTTATATTATTTGAAATATTATTTATTGATCATTAATAACATTTAATTTTCATTTTTATCATTGTTGTTGCTGTTGTAATGTATTATCTCATAAAACTTATCAGACAATACTTGATAATTGCAGTACAAAATAAAATATGAAAATTTTTAAATTATTAATACAGTACTTACATAATGTCATACTTTTTAATTTCGGTTTCACTAATAGATGGTTTGCTTGAGGATAGTGCGGTCAAAATGTGTTTTTGTTGAATAGCTATTAAATCATTGATTGTTGTTGTTGTCAATGCATTATGCGCTGAGGTATGTTGAGGTGTTAGTAAATCGCCGCTATTATCATTATTTATAACATTGCCACCAATTTTTGTATTTGGCAAATACACGTCTATTTCGTTAATTAATTTTTGTCGATCACAACTGTCTATGTCTCGCTTTAACCCAGAGCTTAGGGACGGCATATAAGAGGCTATAAATTCAAGATATTGGCTGTCAGTGGTTTCGGCACTTGTTTTTATTTGGTGTACAAATTGTTTGCTATTTTCATTAAGACTTTCGTGAAGCGCTTCTAATTGTGATGAATATAGAAGTGCCGATAAATCAGCGCCAGTATAGTGATTGGTTTGTTGAGCTATCACATCCAGGTCTATATCCGGAGCTAGAGTTAGTTTAGCACTCATTACATTTAAAATATCTAGCCTTTCATTTTGGTTAGGGAGTGGACAGCAAAGACACTTATCAAATCTACCGGGTCTTAACAATGCTGGATCAATAAGATCTGGTCTACTGGTTGCGGCCAACACATAAACACCTGATCCAAGTTCTTCGAAACCGTCCATTTGAGTTAGTAGTTGATTGACAACACGATCTGTTACACCAGTGCTATCATGTCCTCTACGCGGTGCTAATGCGTCAAACTCATCAAAAAATAAAATACAAGGTTTTGCATTGTCTGCTCTGGCAAATAAATCACGCACTGATTGTTCACTTGCGCCCACATATTTTGATAACAGTTCGGGTCCTTTAATTCCAATGAAATTAATGTTACACTCGTTAGCAATGGCTTCTATAACTAATGTCTTGCCAGTTCCGGGGGCGCCAAACAATAGAATAGACGACTGAGCTTTTATTGGAAGTTTGGAAAACAATGTCGGATATCTGATAGACCAAAGTAAGGTTTCCATTAAACACTTCTTGACATCAGACAGACCTCCCACTTCAGACAAACGACGACTAGATTTAAGCTCCAAATCTAATCCGCGAAGACTTGTTGGTGAAAATCCATCAAAAGCTGAGTTGAAATTGTCTTCACTTAAAATCAATTGTCTCGTACTCTCATCAGTTCCTAACTTAAGATAACAGTTATGTAAAGCCCGTTCAAGTAATGTACTGATGTCAAGGGGTTGATAACCTTTACATCTAATGGCAATATCTTTCAAATTAACCGAAATATGAGAATCAATATTAGAGACATTCAATCTATTGGTTAATAAATTGGTTATTATATCAAATCGTTGCTTCAAATCAGGTGACATCAGTTCAATCATTTCTTCAAACACATGTTTGCCACGGGTTTGAACTAAATTTGTTTGCAATGTTTTGTTAGACTTTGAGGTTACGATAACAGCTATTTGATTGCCAAATGATATGTCTTTTCGGTTTATCTTATCAATGAAATCGACAAATAAAAGAGCAATTCGTTCAGAATATAACGCTTCAGAACTCATTTCTTGTCCCGGTTTGGATGGCATCGAAGCGATTGCATCCATATCTTCAAACACCAACACTGATGGCTGTCTGTAAAGACATTCAGCTAAACAATTGTTCCAATTCTTCAATATTGAATCGATTCGTTTACTTTTCAATGAATGACAATCAATGACATGAAAGTAAACATAATATGGAAAACTAGAGAGCCTTTCCATTAAAGAATATATTAAATGACTTTTGCCGCACCCTTTCTGGCCATAGATTAACATCGAAGACATGTTGACAGCAGACTTATTCTGAAAATATTGAGACAATTCATCCAATTTCAAGGCATATATTAACGAATGTAAACATTTCTTTAAAATATCATCAAAACCAGCTAATGGTTTGTTCTGAAACTGAATGCTTAAAAAATTTGATTTCAATTTCTTGTCAATATCTTTAAGCTGTTGGATTGGTAGACAAACTTCACAAAATGGTTTCTGAATAGACATAAATGGTTCACTAAATTCAATGGACAGCTTTGTTGTGACGGCAAGTGTTACCATAAACATTGCTGTTGTTTGACTTGTATTAGTTGTAACAACAAAAAAATCATAACCACATAAATGAATGAAAGAACCGTTAGTCAGAAACAACATCTTCATTGATGTCCTGTTAAGAAGTCTAATCAAATCACTTCTGATTACATCATCAGTTAGTTGAGTCATTACATTAATTGGACATAAAGTTAACTTTTGTATGATTGGTATATGATTTTCATTTATAGTGGTTAAGAGTAATCTGGATGTAATCGATAGACCCAATTGTCGACGCAATGAATTGCATACAAAAATAGAAGAAACAGGACATCGATGATGACTGCAAACCAAAACAGTTGTCTCTTTAAAAGTCAAATCCGCTAATTGTTTATTGCTATCAATCTCTTTCTTTTCATTATTCTTCTGATTTTCTTTAATCATTTCATTTGGTGATAACAGATGAGTCAGATTTGCCACAAAATATTTAGTTTCACAACCGATAAAATAATCACTGGATATATAAACAGTATTTACAATATCTTTATTATTATTATCTGTTTCGTCTACAAATGGTATGACACGAAGCACTTCATAAAAGTTTAGTTGCGATTCAATTGGAAATCCATTTTCAGAATTCTTGTCATCGTTGGACTGAATGGACTGTGGATTCTGTGACACATTTTCATCGGATGAATTCATTACCAATGATTTGACAAATCCAAACATCGATGATAGCATTGTTTGATTTGTATTATAATTTGTTTCATTAGATTTAGAAATTGATTGCAAAGACATGTCATTTGGTTCAACAATTGCATTATCGTTTGTGTCGGCAATCATATTACGAGATGTATTGGGTGGACAAACCACAACTTCACTCAATTGATTTAAAACAATTACTTTGCTATTGTTTGGCAGCAACTGAAAGCACTCAACAAATAGGCAGACATTGGACTGACTGGTGATCCAAACGGGAAACACTTGACCTAAAGTAAGGACTCGGATCTGATTCAATAAATTGGTTTCAATAAATGTTGAATTCATAGATAGTATTTCCCAATCGTTTTCAGTGATTGGTTTCAAATAGCATTTCCTGGCATTTGTCTGTCCAATTAGATCCAGAATCGGCACATAAGTGACCAAAACTTGTTGTTTATGACTGAAACCCAATTTGTTAGCAAATACTCCACTTATATGAATGGTATTGCCGTTAGTGGTGTCTCCGCACCAACTCATCAACACTTCTTCTTTAACCTCATCTTCACATTTCAATGATTTGATCCGAAAGACTGATATCTTCTGTAATCAAATAAATTGATGACAAATACAAAGGGTTTTTCCAAACTTCATATCAAACCTCATTTGGTCTTAAGTTCCAAGTCTTGGGAATCGATATAAAACACGACTTTCTGGCCGTAAACTCAATTTCCGAGACGTCAACAAAAGTCATTGTCGATTACCAAATGATTGTCCAATCAGTAAACGGGTGGCAATTGTGGCCACAAATCGGTAACATTTCTCTAATTATTGTTTCAATTATTTTGTTGCAAAAGTTTACGAATAAATGTATTCATAAATAACGAAACAATCTATGAATGAAATATATTATTGTTTTGATTGTGTGCTAACAGATGGACACCCAATGTATATATAAATTGTATTATTAATACATTAGTATTACATTAATATACAGTAAATTTACTGTAATTTAGTATTAATATTAATGTTTATTAACTATAAACTACAGTAGATTTAAGTCCACTTATCATATAATACTATAATATCTTAAACAAACAAAATTAACAAATAATTGTAATAACAGTCGAGTTATTGTTTAAAACAGTTATGACTTTTAGTATAGAATCTATTAATAGTTAATATAAACTATAATTATTATAAAAGTGTTTTATAATAACAATTAGAATCAATTGATTATAATATGATTTTATGAGTTTATAATACAGAGAAGTGCTTAACGTTTGACTTTACGATTCAGGGGGTAATCTATAAACAATTGTATACGGAATCCAACTTATTGTCGATTCTTCGGTCATTTCCGTATCCACTCAACGGTTATCACGGACTCTGTTATCAGACAAATCCTTTTGTTGATTAAATGACTCTTCAGTTATCTCATAGTTAACAGTTGTGGTGGGTATTGGATTTGGACACCGATTGATTGATTACACTAAAAATTATGATAGAAATTAATTTTGTTACAAAAAAAACAAATTAATTAATTTGATTCATACAAATAGATTTGTGGAAACACTAAAAATCTCATCGAATGATCCATTAAACCACTGGCTCTTTGACAACATTCCTCAAGTAATAGATAAGTAAAGCAATTCTTGAACTATAAAATTGGTAAAACTAATAATTTTGAATGTATTAACATAATCTCAAAAATTATATATAAGTTTGTATATTACAATTCAAACTATATAATTATTTGATAATAATAACAATGTTAACAATATTATAATTTTGAAAAACATTTTATAACTTATCGATTAGTTTTTTATATCGAAGATATGTCAAAAATTTTTGCATATAATTTAAATAAAAATATAAAATAAGATAAATTTCAACAACAAAATATATATACGTTTGATGGGGTTTTCAATGAACTTTCTTATTGATAAATGAAAATAATTTTTCAATATTATTAATGATATCTATTTTTCATAAAATAATATATATTTTTAAAAATTTATGAAAACAAAAATTTTAAAAATATTTAAATGTTAAAAACAGAAATTCTTAATAAATCACTTTTTTGTATTAAATAAAAAAAATTGTATATATTTTATGCTCTTTTGGTTTAGCATTTAATTTAAATATTATTACAATGTATTCACTGATAAGATTCTTAAATAGTTTAATACATAAAAAAAATTGCTTATAAACTACACATAAGATTAAATTGTATTTATTTATATACTACAATATACCGTACAGTATATAATATTATACACATGAAAAGCTTTTACTATTTCATAGATTTTTAAAAATCAATAAATACTTGAAAATAATAAGTGTTTTATACAAACATTGCAAAATTGAATGAATTTTGTTAGGAAAGTTACAGTATATATCAAATTCTGTAATTTTCAAATGTTGTTTCAAATGCCAGATAAAAATCATTAAAATATAATACGATTTTTATGCAAACTTCTCATTAAAGTTAGTTAAATCTCGGCACAAAAATTAATCAAAAAAAAAAATACAAACAACTCATCAATTTTGATGTTAATAATTTTTTCAACTAACTTAACAAATTAAATCAAATAAGTATTTGGGCTCTAAATTTAATTATTTTTCCAAATTGAAAAAAATTGTTACTCAAGGCATTCAATGATGAAAAGATAAGAAGAAAATACTAAAATAAGATTTACTAAAATGTAGTTTTAAAAAATCAATGCTATTTTATCATACATTATATACGGTATTAGCATTAGTATTTGACATTATATATATATATATATACTGTATTATAATCTATAAATTAAATATATTACTATACATATTACTATACATATATGGAGTATTTTAGATTTACAGTCAGTTATTTGTTAAGATTTTCACCAAAGAGCTATCAAAAAATTATTTAGCAAAATATAACATTGACTATTAAAATAAATTTATATCAGTATTTACAATGTATTGTATTATTGATATTATGGTATTTTTTAAAATAGTATTTTTACCATTCAATACAATAGAGACTCCACTCAAAACATAATGCATATTAAGACCCAATATCTACATACAGTTCATACAAATACTATTTATAAATAGAGAGGAAAGTTGAGCCCTAAAGCCAAATGTGTAATGAAATGGATGGTTGCAAAAGTGGCTGATATTAAGTCCCTGACCCCTCTCCCCACAACTATAACCCAAACCCCACACAAAAATTTTCTTATTATTAGTAAATATAATGCAAATGAAAGACCAAATATTTAGTGCATTTGTATGAAATGTTTTGCCTTTAAGATGTATTAATAGTTTAGTTATGATTTGGTTCTCATTTCATACTAACTCACAGAGTATTTCATATAATAAAGTATTTTCACATATAATTTATAGAATAAAATTTTGTAATTATTTTATTCAAAAGTCGTATTATTTTTTTAAAAAAAAAACAATATACTAATTAAGTTGAGGGCAATCCCTTATTTTTATGTCTTATTTCTTACACTGGTTTGTTATAGTTTAGTCTTTAGTGAATGTCTTCAATTAAACAAATTATAGCATAATTTTATATATAATTATATGCATTCTTGACCTCAAATATATTTAAGGTTCAAATTCTAACAAATAGTATCATTATGTTTCGCGTTTATAATTATGAAAACACTGTTATGGCATATGTTGGTTGTTGTTATATACCCTCCTGTATATGTGTACAACCTCTGTGACAACTAAACCATAACTAAAAACCATATATTTTCGACTCAAGAAACCATTTGAATAGTGAAAATAAATTTTGAATAATAAGCTACTATTTTAAGTCTCTCTCTCTCTCTCTCTCTCTCTCTCTCTCTCTCTCTCTCTCTCTCTCTCTCTCTCTCTCTCTCTCTCTCTCTCTCTCATTGTGTAATATATTGAAAAATATTGTAAATTTTTCCGTGGGGTATATTTCTTGACTCTATTTCACTTTATTGTTGTATTTTTATATACAAAATAAATTTGGAAGAAATTTTCTGTAAAATAAAAGCAGTATTTTTGGCAATAGTTAACTATACTATAATAAAGCATTACATCTGGAAACTGGAGGTATAGTTCAGCTGTTTTTATGCAAAATTTTCTGCCGTTTTATATCATTGACACCGGGTTTGTGGCACTTATAAGTATTATCAACTGTGAAACTACTGGTGGTGTAAAGTGTAGAGGCTTTGAATTTATATATAAATACTGTACAGTAATGTGAATGAATGGTAAACACCATGCGATTCACTGTAACTATTATTTCCAGTGCTCTCTCAGGCCTTACCATCAGAGATATGGTTGGAGTAAAAGGTGCGCAAACAGTCTGTCTCTCATTCAATGAATCTTTTTCAGTCTCTTTCAGTTTTCAATGATATTGCGCTCAAAACTAGTCGACAATATAAATGTGTGTATAGTTTAACAGCAAAACAGTAACGAGAGATCTTCATTGCAATACTTAAGCAATGAATTAAAGTTTTTGTTAAAATTGAAAAAAGAGGCGCTTTTTCTAATAATTATACAGTATTTGTGTGTTTTGATATCTTATTATAAATTATATAATAAATACAATCCTATTATATAATTATTAAATAACTGATATAAACTGTTATAACAAAGTAATGCAATGCGTGTTATATTCCTCACCATTGGTAAGGTTTAGCCCTTTGCTGGTGAGTCGTGTCTTACACTCCAACAGTGTTTGCATTTGGATAAGTCATTAATCCAGTGGTCGTCCGTCTCTTTGAATCTGACATAACTTATTTGTGTCCCTCAGCCCTCAACCAAATACAAAATTTAAACCCAACTAAACCTGTCTTAAACACATACAAACATTTATACTCAAATATATAATACTCTCTCTATCTCTCTCAGTGTTTATTGAGATCTACTACTTTGTTGTCGAAGCAAATGAAGTCTCACCACTATTTTCAACGAGTTTTCAACTATTTTTTTTGTCTCTTTCATCACAACATTGATTTAATATTAAGTGTGTCTCAAATAGAAAGATATAGAAAAAGAGAAAGAATTGAAATTTAATTTTAAAAAGATTTTAGTTTAAAGTGGAAAATGTTTTAATATATAATTTGTTTTTCTCAACAATTTAAATTGTATTTATCTAATATTATATACACAATAATTTAATATAAGTGATAAGCAAATAAACGTTAAAAAATCTAAAGTATATCAAAAAAATATTTATTTCTGACATTACGTGTGATACATATATTTGTGTGATTTATCTAACTATAAATATATATTATTAAATATTATCTTATATATAATTATTTATGATTTATCAAAATTATTCACAAATGTCTTGAGTTAATCAGTCATAAAATGTGTGATTTATCCATAAAATAATGAAATATTGTTATAATAATATAAAAAATAGATAAGTCTGTTGTGTTAGCATTAATTGTGTGCTTACTTTTAATGGATTATTATTGTTGAGTGTATTATATAATCAGTATTATAATATACACTAAACAGTATGTTATAAACTATTGTCGCCAAAAATTATAAATTGTATTATTGTTTGTTGTTGTGCTAAATAAAGCAAATGACAATTAGCTTTTTATAATAAATATGATTAATGTTATTGTAGTACATAATACAAAATAAGAAATTATTTATATCACAAATATAATGAAGTTTTAAATTAAGTTTTATCGTTAAAATTGAGAGAAAAAACTTTTATTTCAATCAATGCTTATTAATAGCAGTAAATATAAGTCAATAAAATCATTACAACTTTATGTTTGAAACCATAGCTCACATTGACTTCAATTGCAATTTATACCAAATGTGTATAATTAGTGATCCGTTATGTTATAAATAGCTATATATATATAACTATAGTGTGTATTGTGGTGTCATTTTATATATGATTAATGATAATCGATAGCCAAACGACAAGAGAAGTCCGGCAACAAAGGATGGCCTGTAAGCTGACGGGTGCGGGCATTATGTGGACAAGTCTATCATTAGCAGCTGCTATATTGAACTGTGCCGGCTATTACGTTCCCCATTGGATTAGAGGCTCTTATCATAACGCCATCGATGTGTCATTTGGTTCATTTCGTAGATGTAATTATCCCAGACTTACAAATGATGGCCGATTAGAGATCGTATCCGAATGCGGCAGATATCGCACTTTCGCTGACATACCGTCCCTCTCGTGGCAGGTATTTGTTTGGACATTGCATAACAGCTTTCTTATAAAATATATTTAAACACAACTTATTCATTATAGGCTATTACTTAAGTCAATTGTTTGCATAATACTATTCAAATGTTTATTTGTGATAACAGTGCGCTCTTATAGACGAAAAGATATCAAAGATAATAATTTAGGAGTTTCTCATTTTTATATTAAATTTAGTACTGTATAACAGTGTATATTCACAAACAATAACTGTTTCTAGTCTTTTCTAACTTTTACTACTACTACTACTACTACTACTACTACTACTACTACTACTACTACTACTACTACTACTTATTATTATTATTATTATAATTTGATTTCTTTATTTTTATTAAAAACATTGGATTCAATGACAATCGGCAAACGTAGATCACAACAATACTTATGGGAATTGGAGGTAAAAATATAAGATCTTATATACAGTACATTATTTTTTTTTAATTCATTTATCAGAATTGAAATATTTTTATTGATAATATTATCATTTATATCGTCTATTTTTAGTCTCGATATCATTATTAGTAGCATTTACTGTATTGGCTTCGTGTTGTCTATCGGATGTCATCACCAAAAGATCTGCCAAAACTATTGGAGTCATTCAATTGATTGCAGGTTAGGATCTGTCGATATAAATTACTTTCACTTTATTTAGGATATAGCTATCATTATTATTGTTATTATTTATTATTATATAATAACTATTTATTAGATAACAAGTGAATAGATCATACATTAGTTTTACTTCACATACAAACACACAACTCAAACATTAAAAATAATTTATATAATACAGTAAAAGAAAACTAAATAAATACTTGAATTATTTTTAAACATCATTTATCAAAGTCGTTGATTGAGACACCTTTCAAAAAGTCTATAATTAATTGTTATTTAATGAAATACTAGTAATGATTTGACTTTTTCGTGTATAGACTCGTAAAGGCTTTAATATAACTTTCAATTTGATCAATAGTTTGATATTGTTTTGCATAACACAAACAATATATCATTTCATTTTTGAGAATCATTTATAATAAAAAAATACATTGACTGCTGATTACCCATTCATTTGACATTTTAGTTGATATAAAATTCAAAAATTGTCTCAATACAGAAAAAACTAAACCTTAATGTTTTTGTACAAAAAACTATTCATTGAACCAAACATTTTTTAGACAAACCCATAAAAGTAATCAATGCTTAAACTTAGCACAGGTGCTGCACTTTGATTGTCATTCAGTAGGAAATACCAGTCATTTAATACAGTATGTGGTGTTTTATTATATACCATATATGATATGTGTATACTTTATATATCTTTTTTCAATTTTAATTTCATTATATTTCATGTTTTTTACATTATATTACTAAAGTATGTACTTTAACTAATTATGCTTCAAATAATTCTTAAAAATAAAAAAAAAGTTATTCAAACATTGAAAACAAATCAATCAAACAAAACAAACACTTCTATGACTTTAAATATTTGTTTTATTCAAAAACCATAATATCTTTAATTAAAATAATAGTAAAAAAGAATAAAATGGCACAAAATTAGTGTTAAATATGTATTTTATTTATTCTTAATAACTATTTTATATAAATTATTATTTGATTAAAAAATAATTGCTTTAATTAATAAAATTTACAAAACAAAGCTATACTGATGGTATCGGCAGCAGTCATATACCCTTACGGGTGGACGAGTCCTGAAATAAGGGACGCCTGCGGTGGGCTCTCAGATGTCTACAAACTGGGTATTTATATACAATATAATGACATTCTTGATGTGATGTTTAAAATAACTAACAATTTATTTTTCTAATGATTATTATGTGATTGAATGGTCCGATAGGCACATGTGAGCTCTCCTGGTCTTCATATATGATGTTTATCGGAGTTGTTATGCTATTTATTTGTTTTATATTATCATTCAAAGCCAGCAAAGTTAAACTTAGACCTTATAACACATAAATCAGTTGTATTTTAATTATTTTATATAATAAATGTACAGTACTTTTAATATTTTGTGTAATTTTTTCTGATTATTCATATTATGTATATATTGTGTAAAAGTCAAAATGTATTATCACTAACAGTAATATTGACAAAAACAAATGGCATTGTCTTAATTGCGGTGAGACTTAGGAAGCTTGCTTTCAGTGATTATCTGGAGAACCACTGGTCAGATCTTGCGGTCAAACATATAAAAGTTGTAAACAATAAAACAATGGGTCAATTGAAAAGATTTGTCCACTAGTTTTCCAGATAATCATATATTTGTGCAATATTTTACAATTTAATGCTTATATTTTTCAAAATAATTGAAATAGTTATTTATAAGTTTTTATAGTTTCTAACCCAACAAATAGTTATTTATAGTTATAATAAAATTTCGGAAATAGCGTCCACTGGTCAACTTCGGTGGACATACTAAGTCCCAGTTATAAGCGTTGAACCGACAAAATAATTTTTTTAGTTGGAAATCAAGATACTAATGATAAGTTATTGTTATAAAATCATTGATAACACTTACCATAACTTTTATCACTGCTGCTATAATTACATACTGTATATATATTTCTAAATTATTAGTTGTATTGATTATATTTTATTATATATTTTCTGTATCTAACATAGAGTTGATGTATGAAAAACACCTAAATTTTGATAATTAACTTTTTAAATAAACTGAATTGAATTAAAAATACATTTTATTATATAAATTCATTAATATATAGATAACAAATGCAATATTTGATAAATAAATCATAGATTGAGACGAAGTGAGACCGAGAGTAAAGTCATCCAACACTACAATCTTAAAACCCATATTCCTATGGGTATAGCTTTGGTAATATACCAGATCGGGAACGGATGAGTTGGGTGTCCACTGAAGGATTGCCGCGTTTCCGTCTTCACACGTGTAGTTTAATGACGACCGATACTGAATAAAGTTGTGATACGTGTCTGCTTTGCGTTTGTCAACTTCAGAGTTGGTCAGCCACGCGCACAGTCGACCCGCAGATGTTGGCGTAGACCTGCCTTTTCGGTCAAACTCAATGCCGGCGTAGACATGAAATTTTTTGCGCTCGACTTCAGTTTGCTCGACAAAACCGCCGTTCGGGTCGTTTGTGATATACAACGGATGATAGAGATGGGCATTGTATGGGTTGTTTCCGCCCTCTACTCTGAAATTATAAGTACGACCTCGTTTCACATATAATATGGGCGCCATTAGGCCATTGATGTACCACACGATGCCCGGAGATCCGCTGCCAGTAGAGTCGGTGTATCCTCGATAGCCACCCGCATCGCCAACGCGGGCGTAAAAAGTGGTAAGCGTTCTGTTTAACAGCCGAAGCGGTCCCCATGGCTTCGGTCTAGTATTGGTCTGAAGCTCTTTGGGAGCCGTGAAATGAAAGCAATTTTTTGCCGATTTTCGACCAAACTCTAACTTTACGTCTCCTTTTGGGTAAATGTGATGAAATGTTGGTTCACGTAAACTATTGAGTCTACCGATTGCCCATACAATATATGACAATCCGCTCTTCTCGAAGACTTGGTCTCCATCATCACCTGTTGATTCATATAACAAATAATAATAATTAATTATTTTTTAATCAAAATACTAATATCAATGACTACAGACCGGTATTAATAAGGTTTCTTCGAAATGTAATTTTCGTCAATGTATCAGATCTTTCAAACAAATGGATTTGATAGTTGTCTACTCCACCAACTTTAGTGTCCATACAAACGCCTCGATAGTTGCCAAATATATTTGTGCACTAAATTAATTAAAATTTATTAGTTTATAATAAAATTAAATTTAATAATAAACCGGAAATTTTCCAGTTATGTTGTAATCGTTAGTATATCCTAAATGGCTGTCCATATAAGATACGGACACATCTGAGCCGATCATTTGAGACGATATCTTAGAGCCACTCAAACCAAATGCTATGTAATCGTTTGAATCAATTTGAGCGACCAATTGAAATGTGATTTGAGGTCCAAATATTTCCCAATGAATTTGAAATTTTTGGTGCAGTTGTTCACAGTTGGGAAGTCGTGTTTCGTGTTTCTAAAGAGTTAATGATTAATGATATCGATTATGAAAGACGACTGGATTGACATACAATAACATTTGTCAGTGCCGGTGGTATATTGAGTTCATCCGGTATTAAAACTGAACCAAAATTTTCTTTGGTCTCATCGTCCCAAATGGACATAAAGTCTATATCGAAAATAGTCATATTTCCGGGCAGTTCTAGTGTTATGGTCTCATCTTTGTAAGCACCGATTGGATCAACACTATAATAAAAAGACATTTAGAAATCTTGTAAAACATTTAGAGTCAATCACTACATACTATCCCATTTCGTTGGGAATCCTTTTGCCGGCTGAATTAGGCTGTGGTCCCGTTCCCACCCAGAAATACGTACTTTTGCTGAGTCCGTCATAGTTCAAGTCGGGAATTCTTATAGTTTTTGAGTCGACAATAGTCACCGGACCCGACCGTACGTCATGTGATAGACGCGATAATTCAGAAATCTCTTGCGGTGCCGGCGATTGAAAGCCGTCGGGTATATAAAGATCGGCAAAATTTCTGTTATCTCTTATATCCCAAATAGCTATCCATCGGATGGCTTTGATTTTCTTATCGTCTGGTATTCTGATTGTGATATCTTTATTAATATATTGTCGCAATTTATTGGTCTTTCCGTATTCATCGGGTATTATAAAACCAATATTACTGGGACGTACTGTAGCTCCGGCCCAAAAATATGCATCTACCGGTAATCAATAAATCAATCACAAAGTTATTTAAATTATTGCATCAAATGGTATAACAATACAGACCCTGTCCTAAACCATCATAGAAAAAGTTTTTGATTAGAAATGTGTATTCATCGATGGCATAGACATCACCACTCACTTGATGAGCATAGGTATTGAGTTTTCCCAGATATGATCCCTGGTATTCATCACATATTGCTATCACGTAAAGCAATGAATTTAACATAAAATATTCAATATATAATATATTTATAATATTATAGTAAAGTTATAGAAACTAAAGGTTATTCAACAAAGTTATTCAATATTACCATAATTTAAATAACATATTAATGTAAGAAATATATAATTTTTAGTTAACATTTCATTGGACACATAAATAAAGATTTGTAAGACTAGATGGTTGTGGACGACGTGTTGTCATTGTTTTCGCCACCAAAATACACACCAATTGCTACCAAAATGAAGTTTCAGACAAATGTAGACCAGAAATGAATACTTATTTTGCGTTTTGCATCACAAATAAGGCCAATATATTGGACAAAACGAGTGAGTGATTGCAAGATGTCTTTGCTGTCTATCTAACAAAATAGTATAACTCTGAAGATTGTGAGCACAGGTAGCTTTGGAGGACGAGAACTGGTTTCAAGGTTTAGTGACCCATATTTTTGGTGTTTTGTCTCGCATTTCATATTATTTCAATACAATAATTTTTTACATGATTCTGATATACAATAATATTATATTAATTGAAAATTTTTTAAATATTATTTTTCTAGTTTTGATTTTAAGCCATTGAATAAAACTTATTTGGCATTCAATTAATTTGTTAATTTTAGCCACTAATAGCATATCATTCTTAGATAGAGTAATATACAGTAGTTATAAATTTATATCCCATTGTTTTGCAAACCAAATGTATACTATACTGTATAATATCCTTTGCAATTAATTTAAGAAATATAACTACATTACCGTAATTACAAATATTTCTTTCAAATTAATTATATCTTTTTTCTTTAATCACTAATTAATAATAAATATATATTATATTAAAATACTGTAAACAATATTGCAATTATACAAAACATTTATTAATTAATCTCATAAATAAAATTACATTTTTTCCTAAAATCATGTTTTGTTTCATATACTTCTTGATTACATTCATATGTTTTTAAAATTAATTTCAATCTATCAATAATTACTTTTAAAAACATTTCATTTCTTTATCTCTTTGTCTAACATCTCAACTATTAAATAAAAAAAAAATCAATTAATTCTGACTTAATTTTAGCTAATAATAACAAAAACTATTTGTTTTCTACTTATAGTTAATAAACTAAACACAAGTTTCACATAACATCAAAATATAATAGATATATAAAAAAAAGTTTTAACTTTATTTTCGGTGCATTTTTTCTCCTAAAATATTTAATAAATTATTTTTAAAATATTGCTGCAAATGCTATTATAAACTCGTGTTAAGTTTATAATAATAATAAATTCACTTTTCTAAAGTGATATTTTCCTAAATTATACAAATTATTAAAACTATTAGAAAAAAATTTCAGATGACTTTGTGTTGCTTTTGGTGATTATTATGGTATTCAGGTTTTGACGGCTTTGATAACATGTCTTGTTTGATACAAATAGATGGTTGAATCGAGAATAATATTTAGTAGTATTAGTAGTGAAGGCACACAACAATCAAATTGACGACACATTAGAAAAATTTTAAGGAATAGCTTAACATTTAACAAATTTTTATGGGCTTTGGATATAAACTTAAGACTAAAATCGCTATCATTTAAACAATTATTATAAAAACCTATTTATTTTGAGCAAAAATATATGTATTTTTGTCGATATTTAGTCAATTTTAGATAATAATTGATTAGTACTGATAATCTTAAAATACACATTTTGTTACACATAAATATTTGATATAAATATAATCTAAATAATAACAAACAAAAAACATTTGATTGAATTTTTAAAATAATTAAGTGGTTTTTTTTGCAAAAAAATAATATATATATATAAACAATTCCTAAAAATTATATGAAATATGGTATAAATGGTGTTAATGATTTGATGCAATGATATTTAATCATTATTATCATTATTAGCAGCACTTTTCAAATGCCTTTTTCGGAAAACCTAAGAGCTCTGTGTCATTGGAAAATGAGCCTAAAATTTAAGCAAAAAATAAAGTCAATCACTAAATCAATCAATGATTATAAGAATTTTATTAAATGAAATAATTGTAATAAAAGCTAAAAATATAACATAACATCAATTTAAACGATATTAACGATTATAATTTACCTCAATATTCAATTCAAAATTTGAACACATTATGAAAAATTTGATGAAATGTTTGGTATAATTAATTTAAAAGTGTTGGACATTTGTCTTATGGTTTGTTTGTATTGTTTTCAGTACTAAAATAACTGTATACTAAAGTCTGTCCTGAAAGAGGAATAGATTATTAGTAGCGGCCACTGCTATGATGTTGTCATTTGGATGCCACGCCGTGTGAAGTATTTTACGGTTAAAGTCAAGACTATCAACGCTTATCTCATCCTTCTTCTTCTTTCCCGTTGTAAAGACCTTTGAAAGTCAGTATAATAAATGATTTAAATTATTTAATATAAATAAATAAATCGCAACAAACTTTTCTTGGCTTTAAAATGGTTTTTGGTTTTGCAATCTCTTTGGACGCCTCAAGCATGACATCTCGTTTGGTTTGTCGATCAAATATCTTAAAGAAATTATTATACGATCCGGTCATAATGTATCTTAAATATAAAAAACATTTATTAATAATTCATTGATCTATTAGTCATAATTATTACACCAATTAATAACTTACGAATCGTTTCCATTGAAACAACACTCAAATTTGTCAAAAATATAATCGTTTTCGTAAAGACTGCACAGTTTTGACCGCAAATATTCGTGAACTAAATATGACTCAATGGGTCGCGAATCCATATTGAGATCCCAGACTTTCACAGATAAGTAGTCGCGTGATATCATATAACGACCGTTGTTTGAGAACTTAATACCCGATATACTCGATATGATTTCCGAAAAGAAACTTCGATTAGTGGGATCTTCGGGCTCCTCGAAGACTGCATAAAAAATACAATTAGTATATAAATCTAGACTTAATGGTCAAACTAGACTGACTCTTGGCGTGTTGGTCGCAGAGTGCGGCCGCTCTCATATCGCATAATCTGATAATTCCTTTACTACTACTGTAGACAAACAGATTACAGTGTGACGGATGAAACTCAGCGGCAGTTATCACTTCTGTTAACTCTTCCATATTCACTGGCTTTATGTCAACGATGTCTATAACATACAAATAACACAATTATTAACTTCAAATACATATATCACTTAACATTCAAAACAAACAAATTTAATAGAAAACACACTAAAGCTTTCGTCGGTAATTTCAAGATTCCAGAGATTAATACGGAGGTCATCGGCGGACAGGTAGGTCTCCTGATCACTGTTCACTGATATAGAGTTGATGTGATAGGTGTGTGCGTTGGCAAATATTCTTCGCGGACTAGCTTCAACCATCAGATCCATTGGCCTCAGTGTTGGCACCCGTAAAGACGTCAACGAATTGGGATCCCTGTTTTGTCCGGTCTCATCACGAAGATTGTAACCGTCGATGCGTTTATCTCTTTCATTGATTTTCCACAACTTAATTGTCTTATCATTTGTCGACAATAGAAAGTGTGGCGCATTCTTCCTTCTTAACCAACGAATTTTGTTGATCTTCTCTTCAATTTCAAGACTTTTTAAGTAATCAAACTCCGGTTCGTGACTTTGGAAAGTACTGTAGACGTTATAGTCGGACCTTCTCATTAGGTCTGTCCTCTGTGACTGAGACTGTTTGTCATCAAATAATACAAAAAGATAGACATAACATGAGTTACAGAAATATAACACAAATCACAAGAAATAATTAAACCAATATTTATTTAAAAAATTATAAACTGAAATAATCACCGATTGGTCCCTTTGGAAAATGACAACTCGGCCTCCTTTGTCGCCGGTGGCCAATAGTTCGCCGTCGTTGTTGAACTCAACACATGATATAATGTCAGCTAAAGACAAGACAAAAACCAATCAAATGAGTCAATGGTTGTGATATCAATAGTAGACATATGAGATACAGACCATCGGTGACCTCATCTTCAAGCGTTCCCTTGACCTGAGAGAAACACCACTGAATCTCGCCGTTACCTTCAATTGAATCTTCAGTTAAATTCATGTCTACTTTCATTTAATGTGATAATAAATCAAACAAATAAAATAATAAGTGATAAACAATGTGTGACTTAACTATTGTTTTTAGTCATAATAGTCGACACACCAGAAGAAGTTCAATCATTAACACAATATTTCTCTATAAAGATATCACACGTCTATAGATGTGGTGTTCAGAGAGACAGACAGTTACACAACTCTTGTGGCAAACAATAGTCTAAATTGTCTGACAAGTCGTCTTCAGGAGTCACCACTCATTTGGTCCACTTCTTAAGTGTCGGTTTCGGTGTTGTCGTTGATATTATATCTCGAGTTTAGATACGTTATGACATAAATAATAGGTTTAATACAAACAAATAAATAAATTAATTAATGGTTTCACTAATCAATTGAAACACAAAATAAATGAAATAACAAAATGATTTGCCATTTGATTAACACATATATCACTACAACAGTAAAGTAAATGTATTGAGAGATACAATACATATATAAATAGAGTATAAGTGTATGTATGGTATGGTATGAGTCCAGCGCTACACTCAATGTATTACAACAATAGTGAGTGTCGTATACACTGTAAGTACAGTACAGACTGTGTATAACCCATAACCCTATCGTTTAATATACAAAACAACTGCACTCTTGTATTCAAATTATTGACTGAAAGTAAATATGAAATGACATCAAAATATGGCGCCATTTAGTAAAACATAAGCAAATAATACAAACTTTTAAATAAAACATTAATAATTGTAAATAAATGCTAATATATAGTATAAAAAGGTCTAATTTAATAGTATGTAAATTTTGATTATATTTTGATTATAATTATTAATATTAATAAATTAAAAGTTTTTTAAACCATTTTACCAATATTTGAAAATATAATCATATATTAAATATATAAATAAATTATATAATAAATATTTATACTAAATTTTATTTTTATTATTTAAATGGTTAATAATTTTAATCAACTTTTTTAAAACTAACTTTTTGTCACTAATTGTGAGAAAATTCTTAAATTGCATACAAATTAAATGATTAAATTAATATTAGTTTAAATAAATAAAATAATTGTAAAAGAAAAAGACAGAAATCCTAAGTTTGTTATTATTTATATTTTAATTGCATTTTTATGGCTTAAATCTACAGTAGTTTATAGACAGTCAGTAGAAAAAAGTATTGTTTTTATGCAGTTATATGATATACAGATTTATTCAAATAATTAACACAAACTTTTGTTATTTGTGTACAAATTTTGTAGTGAATAATACAAACAATGAATTTATTTAAGTAATACTTTAATATAATATGGTTTATATCAAATTAATACATTTATTTATTTTGTATGTATCCATAAAAACAAGTGATATAAATATTAATTATTATTTAAGAAAAATTAAATTAATATATACAGTAGTTTATGAAAACTATACATAATATTACCGGTAATAAAGTTGTCTAACATAACAATACTAACTATTGTCGACTAAAGGCTCTCTTAAGACTACCGATGGAACCGCCGGCGCAATGGAATGCCAACACTGTTGTCAGGGCTGTCACTGTATATATCAATGGTATAGATATCAGATACCATTGATTTTGGTTCATAAATGTCTACAAATTAATCACAAAATTAAGACATCAAAATATAGTCAAATATAATAATAGATTAACATTAAACTCACGATTGCGGATACAATGAAATGTGTGGCCAACACGTAAGCGATTAAAACATAATTACGATTGTCACAGGCCTTAGAAAATATGACACCCCATAGTGTATGCAATAATATGAATGCAAGTGTTGTGAATGATGAGCACAGAAAGAAATATTGGGAATCACCATAAATACCAACAGTTCCCGGACCTATACTATCGGCCAGTATGTTGGTCACAGAAAAAGCGCCAGACATTATACCAAAGCCCAGACCCGAAACTGTAGAGTTAATTAAGTAATAATAAAATTAATAAATAAGAAAATATTTCATATTTTGCTATCAAACCAAAAGCTAATTGAGTCCTATTGTTAGTCGACGTACTGCCAGAAGGAGTGCCCACTTCCGACACCTTTGAAAGACCCGGTTCTGCTTTACTATAAATTTTTACGATTAAAATATAAATTAAATCATTAATAGATTATAATTAATAAATACCGGAGCACTCGATAAAAGATATAACGAAACAATTCTTGAAACAGTATAGAAAAGGTGACACCAAATGACAAGTAATCTTTGAGAGGCACCACAACTGTCCACAATATTGACGATAATAACAGTGACATTAACCAGAAGAATGCACTAAAATGAAGAAAAAATGCTTAATATATTAACAATAAATTTGATGACAATAAATGATGGAAACAAACGCTGAGATCATTATAATGATTCTTATGGGGTCTTTGGCTATCAACAGACAAAACATAGCAAATGGTGGACCAAAAGCTATGAGAGTGCAGCCGAAGAACTCCATTGTCGTCATATTGTCCGCTAAATTATCTTTTATTTGGCAGATATTTATCGGTTAAAACAATTGGCGTTTAGACCAACAAATTAGTAACCAATATATAGTCTCAGATTACTTATAAACTGTAATCTCTATATTGAATGACAATACTGTCTATTATTTAACGACCGGTGCTGTCATTTGATCCGTTTGTTTGTTGTTTTGCTTCCTCTTTGGCAATGAATGTCAATATTATTTGTTTCATTCATTCCATACATTCAACTGTCAAACAAAAAGGGCTTAACTCATGAATATACTCATAGATTACTATTTATAATATGCGAGACATGAGTTACGCCTAAATAGTTGACAGCAATAGAGTGACATCTATTGGTGTGTTTTGTGTGTAAACATAATGTCGTTGTTGTTGTCGATTGTCATTCACTTCACACGTGATGTCAATTGTTTTGTCAAAAGTTTGTGGACATCAAAGACATCAAAGATATGATGCGATTAAATATTTAAACAATTATTATATATTTATAAACGTGTCGTTAATTTAATCAAATGATATATTTATTGTTAGATTTTGTTATTAATTTGTTGAATATATTTTGATTTTGTGATTTGAAATTTAAATTATTTATTAATTTATTAATAATTAATTGTGGGATCAATTGAAGTATGAGTTTCGATGTAACAAACATCGACCGACTGGAGGGCAGTGATGAAGTAAAAGGAGGTCTTATTATTAAGAAGAAGACACCCAATAATAACGATGAGTTTGTCTTCAAAAAACCCGGCGTTTCATTACTTGGTTTGGATAAGTTGGCCAAAGAAAAGAAAGCATTAAATGATGAATTAAAAGCTAAAGACAGAAACAGAGACAGTGGTGATAGAGACAGACTAAGTGATCGAAGAGATGATAGAAGTGAACGAAGAGATGATAGAAGTGATCGAAGAGATGATAGAAGTGATCGAAGAGTTGACAGAAACGATAGAAGAGACAGAAGTGATAGAGAAAGGCATAAATCTGGTGATAACTATAGAGATCGACATTTGAGAAGACATAGAGTAGAGACACCATCACATTCGGGTGGTGTAAGTGATGAATATTTGCAAAGAAAAAGGAGACGAGAAGAGAGAGATGATCGATACCGACAGTCGACTGTAAAGAAAACTGAAACCGGTTTAACCAGAAAGTGGATGCCATCACAGCGTATACCAACGCCATCCCATTCCAGTTGGGATGAAGACGATTGGGATAAAAGGTCTCAAAAAAGTGAAAGAGCTTTTACTCCTGATGTGAGATCAACTGGTGATTTGCGAAACTCCTGGGAATTAACACCTCAAAGAACTCCTGCTTACGCTACACCTAAACCTACTCCTACTCATTGGGGATATCAGCGTAAGAATACTGATCGACCCGAAAGTGAAGATCCATTTGAGTGGGAGGATAGTGAAGAAGAAGGCCGACGAGTGGACAGAGAGTGGTATGACGAGGAATGCGACCAAAATCCGTTCGGAGAGATGTCTGAAGAATTTATACAGCGAAGAGAAGAGGCACTGAAAAAGAATAAATCGGTTCAACGTATTAGTGCACAACAAAGACAGATCAATAAAGATAATGAAAAGTGGGAAACAAATAGACTTTTGTTGTCGGGTGTTGTCGTTCGTGTCAATGAAAATTTTGATGAAGACGAAGACGTTAATGAGGCCAGAGTTCATCTTATGGTTCATAATATAGTGCCACCATTTCTTGACGGACGCATAGTATTTACTAAACAACCGGAACCAATAATTCCGGTCAAAGACTCCACTTCTGACTTTGCTATTTTGTCCCGAAAGGGCTCCGCTTTAGTCAGATATCACCGTGAAATGAAAGAACGAAAGAAAGCCCAGAAAAAAGAGTGGGAGTTATCGGGTACTCGTTTGGGTGATATTATGGGTGTTGAGAAACCTAAAGATGAAACGGATAATAACGTCGAAAAAAGTGATGACTATAAAGCAGAGCATCGTTTCAAAGATCATATCAATGAAAATGATAAGCTTTCGGATAGAATTAAAATTAAAAAACAGAGAGAGTTTTTACCGGCGTTTGCCGTTAGAAATGATTTGTTGAATGTTATACGAGATAACAATATAGTTATTGTGGTCGGAGAGACCGGTTCGGGAAAAACAACTCAATTGACACAGTATTTACATGAAGAGGGATATACCAAATACGGAATGATTGGATGCACTCAACCCAGACGTGTAGCCGCTATGTCTGTTGCTAAACGAGTTGCTGATGAAATGGGTATTAAATTAGGAGAAGAAGTCGGATATGCAATACGTTTTGAAGATTGCACTTCAAATAAGACTATCATTAAGTATATGACTGATGGTATACTTCTTCGAGAGTCACTATCGGAGCCAGATTTAGACAATTATAGCGCTATAATCATGGATGAGGCGCACGAACGCAGTCTCGACACAGATGTCTTGTTTGGTATTTTACGTAATGTTGTCAGCAGACGAACTGATCTCAAGCTTATAGTTACGTCGGCAACAATGGATTCCTCAAAGTTTGCTATGTTTTTTGGTAACGTTCCTGTCTTTATAATACCCGGCCGAACATTTCCCGTTCAGATATATTTTTCTAAGAATGTAGTCGAAGACTATGTTGATGCAGCTGTTAAACAAACCATTCAAATACATTTGGGAGGACTTACGGGAGATATACTTGTTTTTATGCCGGGACAAGAAGATATCGAAGTGACGTGTGAAGTGATTACCGAACGACTAAAGACATTATCAGAAACATCGCAAACTGAGACACCAGAGTTGGCAATACTTCCTATTTATTCACAATTGCCATCAGATCTTCAGGCAAAGATATTTCAAAAATCAGAAAATGATATCCGGAAGTGTATTGTAGCTACAAATATAGCCGAGACATCACTGACCGTAGATGGCATAATGTTTGTGGTTGACAGTGGATATTGTAAACTTAAAGTATATAATCCACGCATTGGTATGGATGCACTTCAAGTGTATCCAATAAGTCAAGCCAACGCAAATCAACGAAGTGGTCGCGCCGGTCGAACCGGTCCCGGATGTTGTTATCGATTATATACTGAATCTCAATACAAAAGAGAAATGCTCGCCAATACTGTTCCAGAAATACAACGAACCAATTTAGCCAATGTTGTACTTCTATTAAAATCACATGGAGTTCAAGACTTATTGCAATTTCATTTTATGGATCCCCCACCTGAAGACAATATGTTGAATTCAATGTATCAGTTATGGATATTAGGCGCACTCGACAATGTCGGACAATTGACATCATTGGGACGGAATATGGTTGAGTTTCCATTGGATCCAGCGATGAGTAAAATGCTTTTGGTTTCCACAGAAATGAAATGTTCGGCTGAAGTATTGATAATAGTGTCGATGCTATCGGTTCCGACTATTTTCTTTCGACCCAAAGGCCGGGAAGAGGAGAGTGATTTGGTTCGCGAGAAGTTTCAGGTGCCAGAGTCGGACCACTTGACACTATTAAATGTTTATCTTCAATGGCAACAACACAAGTTCTCAACCCATTGGTGTCTACAACACTTTCTTCACGCTAAAGCTCTGAGAAAAGTGCGTGAAGTGAGACAACAGCTAAAAGAGATAATGGAGTCACAGAAGTTGCCGATCATATCGTGTGGTACTGAATGGGATTGTGTTCGCAAATGTATTTGTTCGGCATATTTCCATCAGGGGGCCAGACTTAAAGGCATCGGTGAATATGTTAATTGTCGCACTGGTATGCCATGTCATTTACATCCAACATCGTCTCTTTACGGTATGGGTTATACACCCGACTATGTAGTCTATCATGAATTGGTTATGACTACTAAAGAGTACATGCAATGTGTGACAGCAGTAGAGGGCCAGTGGATGGCAGAGTTGGGTCCAATGTTTTACTCTATTAAAGAATCGTCTAAATCACAGACTGAACGTAAACAACAACAGAGAGACCATCAAAAGGAAATGGAGTACGAAATGACTTTAGCACAGCAACAGATCCAGAGAAGGAAACAAGAATCAGAAGCCCAGACAACTCTCATCAAATCAACACCAATTGTAACGCCAGGATTAAGACGACCCAATACACCGGTCACTCCTCGACGAACACCATCGAGATTTGGACTTTAGTTTATTATAATTAAATTATTAGTTATTGATTATAATTTATAAATCCATTGATTTTATGTATCATATAATTGTATATAATTTATGTATTGAAATATAATGATTGAAATAACAAATTAATAAAAAAATATGATAACATACTATTTTAAAATGTTTAGTGATTTCAATTTATTTCTATATTTATTTAAATGACATTTTATTTAAAACACGTAATTCTGTTTAATTTTACTCTTAAAATATAATAAACTATATTTCAATGTTAATCAGTGTAACTGAGAAACAAAATATAAGTATTTTAAAATTAAATTATTTAAAACTACTAAATACTAAAAATAATTACTATATACTGTACCAAATATATCATTATTACAATAAGTATAATTAATTACTAGATTATTAATTTGAATTTATGGATTTAGTGAATCAAATGGATTTAGAGTTAAAATTTAATTAACTTTATTAATAATTATAGATATAATAATAACAATTATGATCATAATAATAGACAAATCATTAGAAACGGTTGTTATTAAAATTATAATATTTTATAAAACAATTCTCTAAACAAATGTGTGATTAATGATCCAATTTAAATGATATTTCATTTTTACCAATAATTATGATGTTATGTTAATACCGGTATAACTTATACCGTAAATGTTATTCAAAATAAATCATAATAACCATAGAAACCGTTTGAAATTTCATCCATTAAAGCAAACGGAACATACATTTTGGTAATTGATATAAATATTTAGTAAAATATGTCGAAATCAGATAAAGAAATCAAATCAGTGATGACTAACAATCATGTGGTGATTCAGGAAGAAAAACCATTCTTCATATTATGTAAACCAAAACTATTAGCACTTAAATCAATGACTTTAGAAAAGTTGGACAAAATGCAGACCGAAGCAGAAGAAAAGGCAAAACAATTGATGGATCAACAAAATGATCAACAAATCCATAAATAATCAACAATTTAAATATTATATCACATAATTAAACTAATAATTTAATTATTCTGTTGAATATATTCTATTGTTTTTAAATACATTTATTTATTAAAATTACTTAAAAAGCGTTTAATATAAATAATATRTATTGAAAATAATTATAAAATTAAAAGCAAAATAAACAAAAATTATGTAAAGTAAATAATAAACTTAATAATATAATAAAATTTAAATCCAAATATATGTGAAAATTAATTAGTGGTTTTTAAACAAAATGTCTGTTCCCGATAACCAAATAATTTAATTGTCAATAAAAGATAAATTAATTTTTATAAATAAAATATAAGAACTTGTGATTGAATACAAAAATTTGCTATATTATGGTTTGCAATATAAATGATTAATAAAATTATATATTTCTTTAAACAACATAAGTTAAAAACAATTAATAATAATAAATATCACAAATTTGTAAACCTTTACACTCGTAAATCATCTAAATGTTATATTATAATGTATTTAAGAAATATATTTTTAGTATATATTACTGTATTATAAATTTAGATGATATGAAAATTTAACAATATATTCTGGATATTTTCAATTAGCTATTAATTGATTATAAAAAAGTTATTAAATGCATTGGCATTATTTTATACATAAAAATTAGTTTTAATATTAAACTTTTTTATCGTTAATCATCTAAAACCAATTTCAATTTAATAACATTACATTAATTAATTAAAATATTAAATTACCATAAAAACGCTACAACCCTCCCATTCCACTGAATCCTTGTATATTATTGTTTGGCCATTGATTGGGACTAACAGGTCTCTGCATTTGGGTTGGCGATTGTAATGGACTCATACCCGTACCTACTTTTGTTATAAATGACAATATAATAAATAATTAATTTAAAGTTAATTAAAACAAACCTAATGGTCTTTGTATTGTCTGTGGAGTTAATCCAAATCCAAAGTTATTGGTGAGACTGATTGGCTGCTGACCTGTTGTTGGCTTAATTGAAATATTATTGACCTGACGGGCCAACTGATTCATTGTCGGAACATTTTGTTTTTCAAATTTAGTGCTCAAGAGGTTATCGACATTAATATTAATATTTTTACTTAAGTCACTCCATGTGTTGTTTTGAGAGGTTAGTGTCTCAATGGTTCCACTTGTTATAACATTTGAAACAGAATCGGTATTTGATAATAAATCAGTCGACTGAGCTATTAAATTATGGGACGGGTTGCTGGATATGGGTGTCATAACACCAGCTGTGTTTGAGCTCATCATTGGTGACATTGAATTAGTGATACCTAAGAACGGATTACTTGATTGCATAAATAGCGTGTTATCAGATAATAAGTTTTGTGACGACTGAGCGGGTGATGGAGCAGACATATGAGTGGCGAAATCGGCAAATTCATCTATTGATGAATTGGTGACATTGCAACTGCTTTGAAAAGTAGAGAAATCAGCAAAATCTTCTAAACCATTATTATTACTATTCATTAAATTTTTTGTTAAATGTTTATTATTATTATTATTATTAACAAATGAGTTAAAATTATTTGTCGGCACATTATCTGGTGTTTTACTGAAAATATCTTCTAATAGCTGTTCATTGTTTACTTTATTGCTGTTCCCACTGATGGGTAAAGTTGTTGATAATAGGTTTGGCATCTGATTTGTTTGAGAGTTGCCTTCAATTTTGCCAAAGTTGACAGCTGCACCCATATCTATCTTTTTAATTGTGTCCAATTTGACAGTCCTTTTAGGACTGACATCCGATGAATCATTTCGTGAAATGGATATCTTATTGCTAGCTTTTGTCGTATCAACTGACGATTCCTTGTCATTCAACTCTGGTTTGTCATCAAAACTATTTTCACTGACATTGTCTTCAAATTTTTTCGATTTTCTTTCACTTCGATCCAAGTCTTCGTCAAAGTCGGACTTACGGGTTGGCGGGTCTTTCCAACCATCGCTATATCTGTTTTGACATTTATTAACATTATATTAACACTAATTTAGTTAATAAGTAATAATTATCTTAAATTTTTATTAGATCACTAGCTATGATAGATAAAAGTAGATAATATACTGTATACTGTATACAGTATATAAATTACATTATACTGTATATATTTACTGATTAGCACTATTTTTAAATAATATAATACATTTATTTTATCTCTAACTTATTAAGGCTAAAATGATATCACAATGAATATTATAATAAAAATAATAAACATATCACAACTTACGGTAATTAATATATAACATAAAAATGCATAGATATGTATAAATACAGGTGTGTTAGTTGATTAAAATAATATACAAATTTATAATTTCAAATAAGATTTAAATATCAATAAATATTAAATTATTTGTTATAATAGCAGAATAAAGTATTTTAAAAAAGACAAACTTTGAGTGATATCCCATTTGATCGGAAGCGACACCAATGAACTTGTCTTTGGTTTTCTTCGCTTTTTTGCGTTCCTCTCTTAGTTTGTCGTCGTCTTGAATGAAATCAATCAATGCCTTTACTCTATGTCTAACATTAATGCCCTGATCTTTGCCTATTTCATCGATATATGAATAGTTCTCAAGACTTCTTAAGTCATAGATGTGCTCTCTGGCCGATGTGACCACCCGTTCGGAGCCATTCTTTACCAGATATGCCAGTAATAGCAATGATTTGTAGGTTCGCCGCCAATTGGATCGGTTGTCTTGAAGCATACGTTTCCATAACATACCCATAACTTCGGGAAAATGCTCGTAAGTAAAGGTATGACTGGCTATCTCTGTCATCTGTGGTCCAGTCGGACCCCAGGAATCATCGTTTGTGGCCTCACGGACTTTGGCCTACGGGTGTAAAAACAAATAAATAAAAAATAACTCAATATTTCATATCTTGTAAAACATATGTAAATCATATCTTTATTATGGAAACCAATACTAACCTCAACTTCCGTGTAATTCATGACAATATTAGTACTAAAAGATAATAAAAACAAATAAAAGATTAGTTGATCTCTTGAGAAGAAATTGTTAATCAATTGTTATGTCTTACGCTTTGTCGTAAAGTTCGCGGACTTTCCACATATTGACCACAAATTATCATCAAATTAAACAACAAATTGTTATTAAAATATAAAAATAATAAACAAATTACTATACAATTGAAAAATTACACTAAATTTGTACTAATTATGTGATAATAATAATAAATTGATTGTTTGTTTTAGGACTTAGTTTTCATATAAAATAAATATAGTTTTGCATTAAAAATACATTTAAAATGTAAATTATGTTAAAAACATTAGAAAATTAATTTAAATATTTGATAAAACCGTGATTAAAATGTATAGTAATTTAATTATAATTAATTACAAAACAAATTTAATTACAATAAATAAAATAATAAGTAATTAATAGTTAGTTGTATTCAATAATAATAATAATAATAGCATTGAATTCAATTGAGTTAATACAACAAAACAGTTGGCATTAAATTGTTTTCTCTTCAAACAAATATCAATGACGTCAACGAACTATCATTAGAACCCCAATCGGACTGTGATTGTACTCAATCACCGATCACTGCAATGCATTGCCAGCCCTTATGAACGCTATTTATGATATAATTGAAACATTCCTTTCACTCATCACAACTCATCATAATTTAAGTTATTCAATGTAACTGATATGCTGTCAAAATTCTAGTACTATTTAATATATGGAATACTATCAAATTTTAACCTTAAAAATATATTTAAAAATACCAAACTATCGATGATAAAGTGTGCTTTTACTATACCATAGCTATGTATAGGAATTTATGCAGTGATTGCTTAAAACTTTCACTACAAGTGTTGCTTATATTGAGATAACAAATAAAAAAATAGAGAACAGGTATTAATATGGCATAAGTATAGGTATAGCATAGGTATAGCATAGGTATAGCATAGGTATAGCATAGGTATAGCATAGGTATAGCATAGGTATAGCATAGGTATAGCATAGGTATAGCATAGGTATAGCATAGGTATAGCATAGGTATAGCATAGGTATAGCATAGGTATAGCATAGGTATAGCATAGGTATAGCATAGGTATAGGTATGTAATACTTATGTATGTAGTCGTGCACTGGTAGTACATATACATAGTTTTATAGATACAATACAGATATTACAAATAGTTTTAATTGATAAAAATTGGGTCAAAATCTAAATAAACACAACTTTATTAAAAACATATAAATTTGACAATTATTATACATTGAAATGATTAACACGTATTAGCGTTAGTGTTATTAACTCATATTTATTGAAATTATAAAAAATGTTTAGTATTTAATAAACAATTGAGTATTTTTTGAAAATTGGTCCAAAATTTATATTATTATTGAATTTTGAATATGAATTATATTTCATTTATTATTCAAATGAATATTTTTAAAACAAAACATATTTTTTTAATTATTCTAATTTTTTAGTGTCTTTGGCGTCAATTCTTTAGAGTAATTAATTTCACTGTATTTTTGGGTTAACATTATTCTCAGTTTTAGTAAAAAAAATCTGTGTGGGGTGGGGGTGGGGGTGGGGTTAATGTAAAATATAAAAAAGTTGATTTTTACTCCATTTCCCATTTGCTTAACTCTGCAGATAATATACTATAAATAATGTTATATAAACTAAAAGTTTGTATTACTGGCCAAAAGTTCTGTTTAAAGTTTTTAACTCTCAACTGATTAGCATTACTTTGGCCGCGATTTTTCTTTCGGTAATCGGTGTCTACGGCCATCCAAACCTTCGGCGGTTATAATCTAAAATGAACTCCTAATGTCTACTAAGATCTTAGATAATTTTTAGTGTTAACTAATCAACGGTATAGATGTATAGATTGATTAATTATGACCAACTAATTAAGTGGCCGTCATCTCGGGATATTTGTGTCGGAAAATTTATTTTTCTCTTTTCGTTTTTCTTAAAATATATTTTTTTAAAATTATAATACAATTTGAATTATTTTTAATTAATTTTTTTCTTTAATCAGTTTGATTTTTAGTAAAAAATGCATCAATATTTCATTCAAACTTCTGTCACACATTTTTTGAGTTATATTTACTAATTATGTAATAATTTTAAAAACTACCACTTTTTAAATTTTTAATTCAATAATATTGTCAAACTTATTGTCTAGTTTGCATATTTTTAAAAGTTTTTTTACAATTAATTTTAATTTAGAATAAATATGATTATATTTATGTTATTTCTAAACTTTTGTCGTCCACTGTATATTATTAATTGATGGGTTAATGACACTCTCATTAAACACGATTGTTATTTAAACTTTAAAGCATTTGTTAAACTGTTTATTGTGACTCTAATTAATTGAAACAAATATGATGTTTAGGAAATATTTGTACATTTAATGTAAATTTAATGTATAGATAAATATGTTTATAAAGTATTTTTTACAATCTATAGTATATAGTCTGAGATTTTCCTCATTTAAAATGTTGAATAAAATTAAACTGTTTTTGTTTACCGCAATAAAGATTCATTGATTACTTTTTTAATCTTTTAGATTTATATAACAATAAATATTTTTAAAAGTGTGTATCATTTTATAATAATTTTAATGTGATTTGTCATTATTAAAACATGAAAACATATTTACTTAAAAAAATTATAAATTTATAGTTTATTTTGCATAGTATTTAAAGTACAATAAATTATATTAGTAATATTTCAAATTACTGTATTATTATCAAAAATAAGTTGTTCACTGTTTAAAATAAGTATAAAATATTCAACGATTAAATTAGTTATCGGATTGATTTATAAAAAAAATAAAAATATTTTTTAATATTCAATTATTTTACTGTTTGATAAAATACTATAACTATAGCAGATATATTAATTGTCATTATTTTTACAGAGTTTGAAAAATAATTGCATTATATTTAGATAAAATGCTAAATATATTTTCATGCTTTAGTCATTATATTTAAATTACATTTTATTATTTCGAACTTAATTTAAAATTAATAAAAATAATTTACAATATATCAAATAATGGCGAATGTAGTAACAAAATATAAAAAATATTATTTTATTAATAATTTCTAAAATATTAAAACAATATTATTATATGAAAGATAAAATAAATACTTATTAAAATACACATAATTTTTGAATTATAATCAATTTTTATTATAATAATATAAATAAAATGATTTGACATAAATTTATATGAATTTTATTTTATATTATTTTATATGCTATTGTATTACAATAACAATAATTTTTTATTGTGCATTGAATTTACTTTTTATTAATACAGTAGTTATAAAACGTTAATGATTTACATTATAATGAATTAACAAATATTTCACTTATTATTTGAGAGAAAGTGGTTAACAACTACAGTAGTTTGTGGTAAACATGAATTGTCATTTAGATTGTATACGACATCAGAATTAGACCGACATATGGATGTAATATAAGATAATAGACTTAAGAGTATAATATTAAGTATATTATGGCTTCGGGAGGAGTGGTAGATCACTTGAAAAGGTAGTCATATTAACGGACTGGTAGTTTGGGATGAAGTGGAACGCAATTTATTATTTTATATGAGTTTTGCATAAGTTTTTGTCCCATAATATTGTTATGAATAGTAGTTGTAAAGCGTTTTCGGGCGTTTCGGTTGCATTCATGAAAAGCCAGGCATTCAATGGTTAAATAAATGGCATTTTCTGTATTACTTGAACTATATTATTGAATATGAATTATACTATATTTTCTATGTGAAAGACATTAAAGACATCGTATTATTGATAGTATAGCTTATAATACAAGTACAGGTATAGTATGGATATGATTGAGGCACTGACTTGTCTTTTACAACACTAGAAAGTCAATTGAATTTTGAAGTAAAGAAATTGTCGACCGTTTATATGGCATACACTATATGTGTCACAGTATGGCCTGACTATGGCTGGGAAGTGCTTCGGATGAATGGAGACTAACAATCTCTGTAATTGCAATGAAGGGATATAACAGTAGTCAATATCAGTACTAACTTTAATGTATAGTCTATTTCAACAATAGTTTTACCAATTCATAGGTCATTGCAATGACCATTAACTACTCGTACAGAAACTGGTAGTACAGTATAGCACATGTAGTGGCACTCAATACATCTCTAACGACTGGGCACTGGAAGTACACAATTGAGAGAAGAAAGCACTGATTGCTTTAGTTGTAACACCTTTTGGTGTATTGAAAGGTAAGTTATCTTTGAAATTGGATACACTATGCCTTTTGATGAAGTCTCGGTCCCACTACTAGAGCTTCATATTTCAAAGGTATGGCTTCAAAATATACTGTTTGGTGGCTCTCTCTCTCTCTCTCTCTCTCTCTCTCTCTCTCACTCACTCACTCACTCACTCACTCACTCACTCACTCACTCACTCACTCACTCACTCACTCACTCACTCACTCACTCACTCACTGATTCCTTTATTGAATCATACACTTAGGTTAGTCTCTATTGTAGTTTTATTGTGTGACCAACTTTTGGTCTCTTATTGTTACTTATAGAGTGAGAACACAAGTTTTTGGTCGCCTTTTAACATCTATAGCACTCTAACTCAATATATACTTTGAAAACCATTATGTATTTATATACATACAGTATATAATGTATATATTGCTTATAATAATAAATAATACAATTTAAAAGTTAACTTTTTGTTAATTCTATTGATTGTAACAAACGTTAACTTCCTGTCAAAAAGCGAGTGATTTGAATATTGATTTTCAAGAGATTTTAAATCTTATAATGAAAATACAATAAAAATACCAAATAATGAACTAAACGTATAATGTGTTTATATATATCGTAAATTTAAATCTCATCTCATGTTTAACTTTAATTTCAATGGTTTTTATAAGCATATGTACCACAAAATTATCAATACAAGCATATATTGGTTATACATTTGATAGTATATTGACTTTTATCACAGTTCACAATAAGTTTGTTCATTGAATTGATGGCATCTCCCGTGTGATAATACATGAAATCATAAATAGTTGTATAAACTATTTATACAATTCTTGTATCAAATTACTATAAATGTATAGTAGTTTTGGATTACTTAATGGTTTCAATGGATGTCAATCGTTATATATATATATATATATATACTTATTGGACCCGAAAACGTCACTTTTCCCACACAAACCACCAGATTTTTTGTTGGTGTCG